CATTTTTATCATCATCATTATTATTACTACTACTACTGCTACTATTTTGGCCATCCTAAGACAAGCGGACCCGTGTTCTATGTTTGGGGTACAACAAATGCCCCAAAGTCCCCACAAGGGAGGTAAAAAAGGGATACTATTTCTATCGATCCTTGAGCGGATCAAATGTTTTCTCTATAGGAAACTAAAAAGCTGTGAAGTGAAAAAAAAAAATTTTCCTTTTTTTTCTACTCAAATGGAACGGTTTGATGTTTTCCATAGCAGACTACCTTAGAAATGGGCCTATACAACATCTAGGGCATTAAATTACGCTAGAAATTCCAAAAATTAAAAAAGATAAAAGATCGGTTGTAAAATGGGTACAATAGTAATAACAGAAGTCACTATAAAATTTTGAGTACATTGAAACGGGGCAAAAGTACAAATGATTAAAAAATAAAAATAAAAAGGCAATATTGAATTTTAAGCAATATGGCCAAAGGGTAATTTTAGGTATTTAACTCCATTCATACCTAAAATTTTCAAAAAATAACAGGAAAATTTATTAAAATACCTATAAGAGATACACTATCTAACATTTTACACATTTGTAACTATTACAACTCATGATCATGTGCATTTTATGGCCATTGTGAAAGTATTTTGAAATTAAAATCAAACAATTCAGATAAAATGTTAAATAGTTCATGTATTATAATTTATTTGATAAATTTTCCAAAATAATAAGACTAGAACACCTCCATGCATTTTCTTTGCTCGTGCAGAAATGCAGGTTATTTGCAAGTTGCAACCTACCACTTGGCCATGTGGTTTAGGTCAGCGGCTACATGCACATGGCTATCACAAGTTAAGATAGCCACGCTTACCTACCCTTCTTCCATCTCTCTCTGTATTTGCTGCCCTCTTTTTTTTAAAGTAAATCAGGAACATGTCTCTTCTTTCGTTTTCTATTTCCCCTTCTTTTTTTTTTTTTTTTTTTTTTTTTTGAATTTTGAATAATTCAGTGGGGGAAGCCTGGCCCCAACCTATTTTTTTTTATATACAATAGGGAGCTAGTTTTTTTTAAAGTGCTAGTAGGTGGTATCAGTAGGTTTGAAAATCACAAAGTGGTAATTAAGTATGGGGATGCTACCACCACGACCCAGCCCCCTTTGAGTGCTAAATAATA